CCCGGACGGCGGCCGTCTGCGAGCGGGGCACACCGGTGCGCTGCGGCCAGGCCATCCGCCTCACCCACCTGGGCACTGGCCGCAACCTCCACAGCCACCGCTTCGCCTCCCCGCTCTCCGGAAACCAGGTACCCCCCAGGACCCCCCCTCCTTGTCCCCTGGGACCCCTCCTTGTCCCCCGGACCAGCCCCTTTCACAGAATCACAGAATCTTCTAGGTTGGAAGGGACCTTAAAGATTATCCCCCCTCCTTCCCCTTCCTCCCCTTTCCTTCCCCGGTACCGGGTCGGGCTTTGAGCGCGGTTCTCCCCCCTCCCCGGCAGGCAGCGGGCAGCAGTCGGTGACCGGGGTGTCGGCGGCGGATGACGGGAACAGCTACTGGCGGGGTTTTTCCGAATATCCAGCCTGAACCTCCCCTGGCGCAACTTGAGGCCATTTCCTCTTGTCCTGTTGCCTGTGACTTGAGAGAAGAGACCGACCCCCACCTCTCTACACCCTCCTTTCAGGGAGTCGTAGAGAGCAATAAGGTCTCTTCTCCAGGCTGAATAACCCCAGCTCCCTCAGCCTCTCCTCATAAGACTTGTGCTCCAGACCCCTCACCATCTTTGTTGCCCTTCTCTGGACCCGCTCCAGCACCTCGATGTCTTTTTTATGGTAGGGGGCCCAAAACTGGACACAGCCCTCAAGGTGAGGCCTCACCAGTGCCGAGTGCAGGGGGACAATCACCTCTCCCTCCTTGTCACCCCGGCCATGCTGGTTCTCCCTGTCCCCACCAGGTTCTCCCTGTCCCCCAGGTCTCAGCCCTGCCTTGTTCCCCAGTACAGACTGGGTTCTCCATGTCCCTCCCAGCCCCACCTTGTTCCCCAGTCCCTGCCAGGTTCTTCCTGTCCCTCCCAGCCCCACCTTGTTCTCCATGTCCCTCCTGGGTTCTTCCTGTGCCTACCAGTTCCAACTGGGTCCCTCTTGTCACCCATGTCTCTCTACCTTGTTCCCTGGTCCTGACCAGGTCCCCCATGTCCCTCCCAGCCCCACCTTGTTCCCCAGTCCCTGCCAGGTTCTTCCTGTCCCTCCCAGCCCCACCTTGTTCTCCATGTCCCTCCTGGGTTCTTCCTGTGCCTACCAGTTCCAACTGGGTCCCTCTTGTCACCCATGTCTCTCTACCTTGTTCCCTGGTCCTGACCAGGTCCCCCATGTCCCTACCAGCCCCACCTTGTTCCCCAGTCCCTAAAAGCTTCTCCCTGTCCCTACAAGTCCTGACCACCCCTTTTCTTGACCCCCATGCCCCTATCAGCCCCACCTTGTTCCCCAGTCCCTACCAGGTTCTCCCTGACCCTACAAGTCCTGACCACCCCCCTTCTTGTCCCCCATGTCCCTACCTTGTTCCCTGGTCCCAACTGGGTCCCTACCAGTTCCAACCAGATCCTCCAAGTCCCAACAGAGCTCCCAGTCCCAACCAGGTCCTCCACCTTGTCCCCTAGACCTAGCCCTTTCCTCTGTCCCCCCTCCTTGCCCTCTGGGCTCAACCCAACACCCC